TGTGTGTGGGTATGTGAGTTTTTTGTGCATTGGGGACATTCTGCAGTCTCAGCCCTTTGTTTGGGTATGCATCTTTTCTGGATTGTGTCAGATTTTATATAGTAAAAAAAATCGAATAAATAAAAAAATGCTGGGTTTTTTTCGGACATTCCATTCATTCCTATGGCCGGTCAAAATGACCCGCGAGGGACACTTTTGTTACTTTTTTTTTTACACCTTATTTTATTACACATAGAATCCTCGAATCGACTGAAATAGTTTTTGTGTGTGCTCCATGCTCAAGTGTGACAAAATTAAATAAACATTTTTTTTTTTGATAGGCCTACTTTTTTTATAGCACCCACTTAAACTGCTCGAATTCACTCAAATTTTTTAAAAATGTATTCCCGGTTCAATTTTGCGAATAAATTCCTCCAAGCGCATCAAAAAAGTCATGTGACTTTGCGCTATGGGACCGCAAAACCTGACTAACCAGCGGACCGATGTCATTCCACGGCATCTGAAATGTTGTTATGGTCATTCGGAAATGCACGTGCAAAGTCTGTCATAAAAGTATTTCTGTAGGCTATAATTGCCTCCCAGAAATGTCTTGCACGACTGCGTTCCCAAACAGCAGCATCCACCTCCGAAAGCAATGACCGCATTGTGATTCGTCTGCTCGCTCTGAGGCGAGAGTAATTTATTATATATGAAAATTATTATATTCTCCTACTTTTCACGATTTTGTTCTCTTTGACTTGTTGGATGGAAACTATGCTTGTTCTCAAATGTTTTATGCGATTTTCCAGTTTTGCGCATAAGTTAAATTCGCAACTTTGGATGGAAACCCGGCTATTGAGTACCTGTCTTAAGAACACCAGAATGATGTTTGTGGTTGCTGGTTGGTTGAGCAGGGGTCTGACCCACTTTTTCTTGTTTAGTTTCTTCTGGTTTCAACAGCCTGGAAATGTTCTGTGGGCTAATTATCATTCTGGTCATTTTTATAATGTAAGTAAATAAATATAATATGCCATAAACAATTGCAGGCGTTTTTCCTTGATTTCCTTGTTTGCAACTGCTGGAAATCAACTTTATATTTTTTTAAAGGCAGTTCTGCAGTTTGGACCTCACCGTAAAAGTCAATTCACTATTTTTTTTCTGTAGTGTATGTGCTCATTTCTATAAGTGGGTGAGTGTTTCTTCAACAGTGTTCTGAAACTATATGTCAGTGGACAATAGCATCTGGTTATTAGATTCTGCTTTTTATTTATAAATACTGAGCAAATAATAAGACAATTACATTTTAAAAGGCAGGAAGTTTATGCGTGTTTGCTGCAGCAGTGAGTTCTTGCTTGTTCGTTTTATATTTCCACTAAGAATCATCGCTGCAACATGTTCACCTGAGATGTTGTGTCGGTAGTATGTTGTCACATTTTATGGTTTGCTTAGGCTATATCAGATTTGTGATTTGTAAAGCGCTTTGAGCACTGTCCAGCTGGAAGCGCTATACAAAGTAAACATATTATGATTATTAGCCTAGTAGTAATAGGACTACTAGTAGTAACTTTTGCCAACTGCATAATATGGGTGGTCATGTGATTTCAACATCGGCGAGAGGAGGACCTACATGTATTTTAAAACAATATTGTTCTAGAAGACTGACATGATTTCATCTCATATGATATTTACATTTAATGATATTCTCATAAGCGGTTCTCTTTATGCTTTTTTTTTTTAATTCGCAAATATGCTAACGTCTGAAATATGAATAAAGTACATGACACACAGATCGTAACGTTTCTTAGATACGTTATTAATTCAATATAATAATCCATGTATAGATAGAATGAAAATAATTACTACGGTATTATGGTTGGGCAGAAACAACCACAGTAAGGACTTTTATCCTATTTCCGCGGTAGTGTGCCGGCCGGAAGTGGAATCAGGATCGAAGCGGCTGCAGTCAGTTCTCTTCATCACTCTCGCGCGCACGGCCATCTTCTTTCAGCTCGAGAAAACTGTTCCCGCAGACATGGCCGACTACTCTAACGTGGCTCCGCCGTCCTCAAACGCTGGTGGAGGGATGAACGATGCTTTTAAAGACGCCCTCCAGAGAGCCAGACAAGTGAGTGCTTTGAAAGCGTCCAAAAATATTTCGTGTCTTCAAACTTTACATTTAAAAATTGATATAAAACGTAGCCAGCTCGTTACGTTAGCTAACGTGCTAATTTGAGGCCTTGATGCGTTGCAACAAAGAGGTTTCAGTTGTGTGCATTTTTCTTCTATTTCTTTTCTCTTTTTACTCTTTTTTTTGTTTGTTTTTTAAAGCTTAAATGAAGCAGAATGCTTTTGGTAAATAATGCGTATATTTCACACACGCCCCAATAAGCTAAAGAGCAAATTAAGTTAGTAGTTTAAACCAACGTTACGAATTGTTGATTATCATATTATAATGCTTGACTGACTGATGTTAAGTGTGTACTTTTTAGATATTTATAAAACTGCCATTTTTTTAATATATATATATATATATATTTATTATTATTATTACTATCATCATCATCAGTCTGGCGAGTAAACTAAAAAATTTACTAGCCAATGGCGATTCAATTGCCAAGGTGTCCGTAGAGGGCTGAAGTCTGATTGTTGTGAGCTCTTTGGAGAAAAAAAATGGCAATGCTTATTCTGCACTCTACCCAACAGACAGTGGTGGCATGCCTGATAGGTCAGTGACATTAACAGGCGCACCTGATTCAATCCAGTGAGTATCTCCACACATTCAGAAATTTTGCATGGTTGAATTGAGTATGGTGGGGTATTTTTTAGAAGTGGGTGAAATTAAAAATGTACATTTTCCATAATAGGGCTGCAAAGATGTTGCTCTCAGAGATTGTAGATAAAGGCAGACCTGCTCCGGCATTCCACCACAATGATGGACCAGGGATGTCTGTTCAGGAGGTCATGATCCCTGCCTCCAAAGCTGGTCTGGTCATTGGAAAGGGAGGGGAAACAATCAAACAGTTACAGGTAAGGTGCATAAATGTGGTTAAACCCGAAATTTTCAGAGTTATTTGGTTTAAAGTTTCTACTTTTTCTTTCACTTTTTACCATAAAGTGTTTTTTTTTTTTTTTTTTTTCCCTTAACAGACATTTACTTATTAATTTAATTGTTCAACACTTGTGTAATAGGAACGTGCTGGAGTCAAAATGGTCATGATTCAAGAAGGACCCCAAAATACAGGCTCTGATAAACCACTCAGGATCTCTGGCGATCCTTTTAAAGTTCAGGTTGGTACATTTAAGCCTTTAAAATTCTACATTGAAGTTATTTCAAATTATGGGCTGTATATCTAAATATTTTTAAATTTCTTGGTCTGTACAGCAAGCTAAAGACATGGTGATGGATCTAATCAGAGATCAGGGTTTCCGGGAACAGAGAGGAGAGTATGGTTCTAGAGTAAGCAGTGGAGACAGTCTGGATGTAAGTACTGTTTTATGAGAATAATCTTTAGATTCTTTGTGATGTTATACATTGAATTTTGAAAGGCAGTTTACTAAATGTTTTGCTGTTGCTTTAGGTCCCTGTGCCAAGGTTTGCAGTGGGAATTGTGATTGGTAGGAGTGGTGAAATGATCAAGAAGATTCAGAATGACACTGGTGTGAGGATTCAGTTCAAACCAGGTAAGAGATTATTTATATGCTCTTTAAAAAAAAAAAAAAAAGTTTTCAGTAGGGCTGGATAAAAAAGTATCTATCTATTATAATCGAATCTCAGTTTTACTAAAACGATATCGATTCTAGGTCCCACTTTATATTAAGTGGCCTTAACTACTATGAACTTACATCAAAAAATAAGTACAGTGTACTTATTGTGTTCATATTGTATTGCAAAACACTTTTGCTGCTTTTGAGGTGGGATACGGGGAAGGTTAGGGACAGGTTTGGTGGTATAGGTAGGTTTAAGGGTGGGTTAAGTTTAAAGTTACGAAGCTGAAAGTTCAATTCAAACGGAGATATCGTCTTTTAAAATTCAGGCCGTTTAATGCCTACAAAAACGACTGGTAAGGGACTACAACGAGTTACTTCCCAGGTTCGTTACGTGAAGAACCCAGAATTTTACATAAACCCCGCCCATGCTGCGCTGCTTTAGAGGAGAGGAAGAGAAAACTAGGGGTGCACGTAAAAATCTCTTCATATATGAATTAGTGTTGTCACGGTACCAAAATTTCAGTATTCGGTACCAAAAACACAAAAACATGCTAATTGAACAACATTTTTATTAATAATGTTGGCTGAGTCTGACCAAATGCAACATAAGATCATTGACACCAGCTAAAATATAACTTTTCAGTAAATAGCAAACATCAGCTTTTCTAATACATTTAGATAAGATTACATATATTAAGTGTATATCAAATAGATGGATACTGTAGTATTAATAACACTTTACAATAAGATTTTATTTGTTAGATAACATGAACTAACAATAAACAATAATTATATGGAAATTATTCTTCTTAGGGTTCATTTCAAAGTTAAATCTGTTAAAATTATTTAATGCGCAATGAACAAACATGAATGATCAAGTGTTTGTATTAAATAACATTCACAAACATTAATGAATGTTTTAAAAATATATTGTTCACTCACTGTAAGATGTTACTAGATCTAACATTGTACAGTAAAGTCTATACAGGAGATAAAATTTGACTGTACTTTTATTTAATCCAAACTGTGCTCATATTTAATGTTAAAGGGCTTTTAAAACCTGCTAGAGATATTCAGCCAAAAATTACAACTAACTAA